GTGACTTAAAGCAACCTGATTCATCTCTGCACCTTGGCTTCCTCTAAAATGAGCAAAACAGGACCATCCTCAGAGTGACTTCATGACAAAAGGCCATCACATGCTGCCAGATGCTTGGTGCCAAAATGCCAGCTGTGACTCCAGGTATGGGTTAGTAGCAGCATGAACCTCTTGGTCCAGACCTCTCTCATCCCTATGAGCTACGTGTCTCCCTGCAAGTCTTGTGACTCCATTTGATCTCAGTACTGAGCTCTGTCTGGCCACAGGGATGCTAGGCGGCTTGGCTTGGGAGTTCCAGTCCTCCTGCCTCTGTCTTTTAAGTATACCTAGGGCCACAAGGAGGGTCTAGGGAGTCTAGCGAGGATGGATGGTGAGGAAAGGGTGAGGAGGTGGGAATTGTCTGGAGCTTCACAAAGAGTACTGCCACTAGCAGGCTGTTGAAATAGGAGCGGCGGCGGGGCTGCGTCCCCAACACCCCGGCCGCTTGGCTAGCTTATGCCCGAAATAACAACACACAAACTGTATTCATTTAAAGAACTGCTTGGCCCATGAACTCTAGCCCTTACAGGCCAATTCTCGCACCTGGACTAGCCCATTTCTAATGGTGTGTGTAAGCACCCCAAGGTGCGCTTACCGGGAAGATTCTAGCCTAAGTCCATCGTGGGTTGCAGCTGCCTGGGAGAGCTGAGCATGGCGTCTCTGCTCCAGCAGATCTGTCGGGTCTCTCTGGGAGCAGAGCAGAGTCTGACCTCACTTCCTCTTCCGCCCAGAATTCTATTCTGTTTACTCCTCCCATCTATGTTCTAAGCTGAGGGCCAGCCAAGCAGTTTCTTTTATTGCTCAGCCAATGAAATCAACAGATTGATATATGACACTCCCACATCAGCAGGCAACCACGCGGAACTTATCAGAGAGAAGGGCCGGAAGCTACTCCGAGTTCGAGGAGTAGCAGTCACCAAGCATGAGTTGCCTGGTAACAAGCATTCAGTGAACACAGGTGGTAGCGAATCTAGAGAGCCAACAGCCCAGACCCTGCTCTCCCAGTGCTGATGCAGAGTCTGCCTGCGGTCGAAACATCTCCGCAAAAAGTGGGTTACGCATCCCAGAAGAGCTCATCTTACTCTTCAAATAAATGCTTTCTTTATTTCTTCCCCAGTGATTTTTGTTAGCTGTTTTTCTGAAACATGTATTGCGAGTTCTGTTTGAAAGCAAGTTATCTTTAGAAAGTCGATGTGGACGCGGGAGATGAAGCCCAAACTGGCCAGGAATAGAAGCCCCCAGTGAGTGAGCAGGCCCAAGGAGCAGCCTCCTGCGGTTCTCTGAACTTCCCTAACAGATGGGGTGATTTCAGCTCCTCGGAGCCACACAGAGAGCACCAAGGTGAACAGCCACAAACTCATTACATCCTGCTTCATTGTTCTGTCCATTACTCTCTGAGGACAATGCAGGGTAAAAGCAGCCAGAAGCCTCTTTCATAAGAGTCCAAGGGGAAGAGGAAATGATGGTCATAACTTTGCCGGGAGACTGTGGGCCAAGTGTAGCCACTTGAGACCAAAACTTGGCATGTTTTATAAACTACGGTACAGATAGAGAGAAGTGGATTATAGACGCGGACCCAGAAAACAGGCATCACACACATACACACCACACACACAACCACCACACACACAACCACCACACACACACAGCCGCCATACACACACACACTTATACCACACACTACACAACCACCACACACACACACACACATATACTACACACACAGCCACCATACACATACACACATACACAGACATATACCACACACACAGCCACCATACACATATACACATACACAGACATATACCACACACCACACAACCACCACACACACACACACACATATACCCCACAGACAGCCACCATATACATACACACATACACAGACATATATACCACACACCACACAACCACCACACACACACAACCACCACACACACATACACACATACATATACCAAATATCTCATATCAAAGTGGGTTTTGCTTTCTCTTAAAGTAAGAGTTGAAATCTCTCTGACATTACAGAGCAAACGCAGCTCCTATAACGCAATGCTGTATTTGTCAGTGACCTGTGGCCACGTGGGGACTGGCTATCGAGGCGGCTGTGGAACACCCACAATTCAAGAATTCAAGATCTGAGGTGGGTTCTTCCCTAGTGGCCACGTGACCTGCTGAGCTCAGGTCTGCTCTTTGGTTGTTTGGAGTTTTTTTTCCCCCTTTTGTAACCAGATTCTGAGTGTGTTTGGGGTCCCGCAGGGCAGGCTGTTATGAGGGCTGGGCCAGGAGGGAGTCTTGGATGTCTGTGTCGCTGGCCACAGTTCATTCTAGTGGTTTGTGACGCAAGTCAGTATATTCTGTATAACTTCTCTAAGCTTGCTGAAAATAAGGAGATCCCAGTAGCGTCACCGTGAGTGCAAAAGACTCGTTTCTCTTTTCTAGACCTCAGTGAAAGAGGATTAGGGACAGCCGGGCTAAGAAAATAAACAAGCCCTGAAATTCTCAAGTGCTTCTGATCCCATTCATCTCCAGACCTGCCACCGCCTGGGAAGGTAACTGTTTCCCAATCTGCTGCTGTAGTTTACCCACATTTGGGGGGTTGCGGAAGGCACAGCCCTTTCCTTTGTCTTCTGTACCGGAGTCTCCAGTGCTTTATTGGGACTGGGGTGGGGGTGGGCTTGAGGCTGACTCGGGCAACAATTGAAGGCTCCCGGATAAAGTTACCTGCCTCCCGAACCAGAGACTTCATAAGCTTTAATCTTGTTTGGTAGAGGTCAGTGCCGTGTGGCTATTGTGTCCCCCAAAGGACCACAGGTAAAAGTTGATGCAGGCACTGTGCTGTCTGGAGCTGGCGGAGCCTTGAAGTGAAATCTGGTGGAAGGTATCCATGTCATTGAAACCGTGCTCTGGAGAAGGGCATGGGACTCCGGCCCCTTCCTCCTCCTCTCACTTCTCAGGCAGAAAGTGAGCAGCTTTCCTCTACCACAGGCTCCCACCATGGTTTGCCACTTGTCATAGATCTAAAAGCGTCACAACCAACCATAAACAAAAAAAAAAAATCCCCAAGCATTGGGGGCAAGCTTTTCTCTCCGTAAACTGACTGATTTTTTCTTCTAGCGATAACACACAGTAGCTATTCAGCAAAGGCACAAAACAGACCAGAACTCCTACATATGAGCTGAACCACTGGAATTAACTCAGTAAGTGTGGGGCTGAGGCCCACTCCCATTTTAGGGTCTAAGTTTACTCAGAGGTGAAAAACTGTGGTGAACAGACTCTAGGGGAGAGCTACTAGGCCCGTGGGATCCCCTCCCTTCAAGTATGTGCAGAGTTTGTGACTCGTTGCTAAGTAACAGAATATGACATGCAATAGGATGTCACTTCTAACTCCATGTGACACCCATCTCAATAGAGGCTCTGCTGACTGCGCTCTTCCTGGCTTCGGTGCAAGGAATCCGCGAGTGGCCTCCAACTGACAACCCATCAGCAGCTGTCACTAGGCATGAGAACTTGGAAGTAGATCCCTCCCCAGTTGACCTCAGATGATTCCCTACTTTGGCCCATGAGAGTAAGGCCCTGTCAGGAGATGCTGGAACCTTTCTAAGCCATACCGGGATTCCTGGACCACCAAGTCTAGGGGCTAAGACATGTGTTGTTTCAAGGCACTAAATGCATGGGCATTTGTTATGCGGGAAAGCCTCTCTAATACAAGGGAGCGGTGGGAACCTTAGACACTGTGCACAGGAGGACAGCCTGTGTGCTCCCGGCATTACATTACAGCACACGGGTCTGACACAGGCACACACGTGCTAGCTGCTGCACATACTGGGGTGAGGATCTCTGTCTTCCTATAACTCCAGGCTGCTTGTTCTGCATTTAAATTCTCATTTAATTAGGCTTCTTTTCCTGGCTTTTTGCTACTGCAAAAAAGTATTTTGGCTCTTGACCCTTTCTTCAGAACCAACAATATCAAATAGTCTTACCAAAGCCTCTCTCTTCAGGTCCTCAGGCTATCTCAGAGGAAAGCTCTTTCCTGCTGGAGGCTCTTTATTTATTTCAGGTTGATCCCTGATTAAATCTGGTATAATGCAAGAGATATTTTTTCTCCCGCCCCTCCCTCCCACGTGTGCATGGGTCTGTTTGTGTGTGTCTGTGTGTGCATGTGTATGCATATGTGCCTTTGTATATGTGTGTTCGTGTGAGTATGTCTGTGTGTATATCAGTATGTGTGAATGTGTGTGTGGCTACATGTGTGTCTCTCTCTGTATGTTTTTGTGTATGTGTGTGTCTGGGCATGCGTGTGTCTGTGTGTGCATATGTGTATGTCTGATTGTGTGCATGTGTGTGCATGCGTGTACATATGTCTTTTTGTGTGGGTCAATACATGTGTGTGAAATATTCCTTTACACTATAGGAATATGTTACTGTGATTGGTTTAATAAAAAAGCTGATTGACTTATAGCTAGGTAGGATAAGGTTAGGTGAGGGAACCAGGCTAAGAATGCTGGAAAGAAGAAGGGTGGAGTCTGAGGCTCACAAGGGGATTCATAGCGATGGAGATGAACTTGCCACACTGAGAAAAGGTGCCAAGCCACATGGCAGATTGTAGATAAGAACAAGCCTGAGCTATTGGTCCACCATTTATAATTAAAATAAGCCTCTGTGTGGTTATTTGGGAGCCACTGCTGAGACACAGGGAAATTCTGCCTACACATGTGTATGTGTGTATGTATGCATCTGTGTGTGTGAGTGAGTACATGTGTGTGCTTGTGTGTGTTATAAGCAGGAGTTTGACAGAAGATTAAGATACTGAGTTCCTGTTTACTTACAGATTTGTGCCAATGCAAAGTAAGACACTAGCACAAAAGCCATCTAGAATTTTAGTTCCAAGGGATGTAACACCCTCTTCTAATTTCTGGGCACCGGGTACATAGTAAGAAGACACACGAACAGGCAAAACGTTCATATACATATTTTTCTATTTTGAATCATTTCTGTACATTTATTACTACAAATTAAGATAACGAGATGAGATAAAATAACAATTGCCTTTACCACACATTTCTCCAGCCTCGAAAATCCAATGGTCTACTATAATCATTACCTTTTAACTAAACTACCCCAAATTCTACTCATTCTTCCAAGTTCTTGTCTTTATCTCAAACTTGAGGCTTCTGAGACTCATAGAATACTTGAGACTCACCTGTGCTTCTTTGGGTCAAATTGGAACATGAAGATATAATGAAGTCCCATGCATTCAAACTTCACATTTCGTACAGATCACTGGGGACAATGTGGACGAGATCCCCGCACCAGAGAAATGAGAGAGGCTCTGTGTACCAGAGACTCATGCACAGATTATTCTAAACGACTGGTGTGCGCGTTAATCTCACAGGATAGCTCCCACGTCTGCTGCCCAGCATTATCGGCATCAAGGTCAGTGTATGGCTTAGGCCTAAACTGACTGTCTTATTTCTTCCCCCTACCCTGGCATTCTCAGAAAGATCTACCCATGATTTAGGCAGAAAGCGCAGATGCAGCTGAAAGGCCCACTATTTTCTTCATGCTGATTCCCGTGAAGACGTCTTAGGTTTTGTTATTTTTTGTTTGTTTGTTTCACTCCTCATGAATCTGTCCATCCTTGCTATGAGATGATCATTCTGTAGCCACAGCAATGCCGGGAGCCTTCTCCTGAGAATTCACTTTGAATCTCCCACAGATTCTTTCACTTCTGTTCTGGTCAAAGGGAACGAAACTTCTCGGCCCCAGGGTTGGGGTCAGCGTTCTCAGAACCTTGGCTGCCATTTTTGAGTGTGGGACTTCTGACCCATTAGGAATCTTCTTCAATAGGACATGTGAGAAGATCCTGGGCTCACACTTGGATACAGCATCTCTGATGGCTTTGCAGTGATGGGTAGAAGCCTCGAAAGTATGTTACAAACAAAATTGCTTAGCCCTAGGAAAGACCAAGATCAAAACTCCAACTAGCAGAAAAGAGACCCATATGCATCATCTTTAAATCTAAAAAAAAAAAAAAAAAAAATGCTTGTAATTTAAAAAGAGATGATCACTCTCAGGATACGAGACCCCGATCTCAACGGAGGTGGTGGGGGAATTAACATGTCTCATTCTTTCCCAAGAACACTTTTTCTGGAATTCTAACATGTTCTATACATAAAATCAACACTGTAGACAGCCCCAGTTTGTACAGGAAGGGAATGGGACCAAAGGGTGGCTGGTGTCTGCAGGTGGCAATGAGACTTCAGAGAGCGGGGGTGAGGACATTCAACTCTGGCATGCAGAGTTGAGGGACAGGGAACATGGGGATGATGACGTCTTTGTCACTCCCTGCCAGGCAAGCTGGGGTCTGTGTTGTACACTTTCTGTGTGAAAGCATTGGCTTGGTGCTCGGTAGTCACCGCTCGGGAGTAAGATAGAGCAGAAACCTGGGGAGGTTAAGAGTATTCTGAGATCTGTGCAGGGTGGGCAGAAGGGGTGCTTGCTGGGGCTTTGAATGATTTAATGAAACCCTAGCTGCTGCTCTTGGAAGCCTGGTCACATCATTTCCTAGACTTCCTCTCCATGGTTTTGAGTTTGACTTTGCAAAACAAAGAGTGGCCCTCAGATAGAAAGTCAGGCAGAATTATTAAACCGCAATACTTAAGGAACGTGGAGAGGTCTCAGTTGAGGCTAGAAGTATCTGAGGTACTATGGAGAGGGGCGTATTCTAGATTGCTTCTCTGTTGCTGTAATAAAAAGGACCAAAATTAACTTGGTTAATTTGGTTTATCGGGCTTACATATGGTTCTGAATCATAGCCAATCATGGAGGGAAATCAGTGAAGGAATTCAAAATGGAGCCAAGGCAGGAACCCGGGAGGAAAGCTGCATGGGGCTCTGGCTCTTGGTCTCTCATTCAGCTACCTTATACAGCCCAGGCCCATAGTGGGCGGCCCCCACCCCGCCCATGAATTCACAATCAAGAACCCATCTCCTGAGGCAGTTCTTCAGCAGAGGTGTCATCCATCCATACCCCCCCCCCACAAGTTGATAACCAAGGGGAGGCTCTGTGGCCCCTGAAAACTCCAGCAAAAGTGCTGAATTAGCCAAGGCGTTGATTCATATTTTGTCAGAAAGGGGATAGCCCCTGACAAAGCCAAGACTGGCCTCAAAGTCTACCTGGTGGAGGATGACCTTGAACTCATGATCTTCTGCCTTTAGAGAGGCGGTATTACTAGCGTGCTCAACGACCCCTGCCTTCACTTTTCTTGAAGAAGTAGTTTTAAAAGTCTCCTGGGGCTTCGGGGCCCCTAACAGAAGGCCCCTGATGTTGGGGATCCTGCCCCTGGCCTTGGCCACGGGTCTTTGTGCCTCCTAGGCTGCATGCCCCCGCGGCGTCGCTGCCTTCTGCAAGGATCACCCCCACCGAACGCCGTACCTGGTCCTTTGTCACCAGCTGCCAAAGAATTCAGAAAATCAAATTTATTTCCCCATTACAGCCGAAGCGTCCCTTTGTGCCGAGAGCTCCCTTTAACTCGGAATTCCAGCAGACATTGTGAAGGCCTTTATGGCGCGAAATAAAAGCCGGCCGCCTCTTGCCCCTGGCCCGCCGCCCCTCCACACTGACTTCCCAGCCCCGTGGGAACTGCCCGGTGAGTTCTCAACAAGGACGCTAACGAGCTTTGGGACCGCGGGCTCCAGGGCGCCGCTTAACCCGAGGAATGAATGAGACGTGGGGCTTAAGAGAGTGGGTCTCCCCTCGACCGCAGAGAGAATGGATGAAGGAAGGAACTACTCCGTTTCTTACCCGCCCCTCACTGTCCCCAAGCCCAGGTGGCACTTCAGTCCGACAAGCTCCCCTCCCTCCAGCCGCAGAGGCAAGCCGATTTAAAAACGCCCAGGGCAGAGACGGCCAGCACCTTCCACAGTCACGAAAGGAATGCGAAACATTACCTCGTAAATTTTCTTTATCTCCTCCCCCAACTCTTCATTATGCTGGGGCTCAATCTTTCTTTTCTTTTTTTTTAAGAAAACTATTTTTTAAAGGCAATCTGAAGAGGTCACATACTCAGGGGGTATATGCAAATCCACCTCGGTCCAGGGAGACATGCGCAAAGACCGTGGAAATTTGTACTCTCATTATAAAATAACAGATAATACTAGAGTCTGGGCTATAAGCTCATGAAAGAAAGCAATCTGTAATAAGACAATTAGTTCCTAGCACTGTAAAATATACTTGTTATAAAATTTCTAAAGGGTATTGGGAGATGGAGCTGGCTTTAAGAGCACCCACCGCTCTCTAAGGGGAATCACCACCTCCCGGAACTCCAACGCCAGGGCATGGGTGCTCAGGTGTACATACTCCCACCCCACTGACACACGCACACATGATTCAAAATAAAATCTTTGAAAAGGCTTTCAATGTCCTTTTAAAAAATAGTGATCCATACCACTTAAGACAATCATCTTTTTCTTGAGGGTTTTTTTTTTTTTTAAGTTTCTGGATTTGGAGCTCTCCCAGTCATCCTGTGAAGAGACGAAGCCAACATCAATAAACCAGGGCCGCATTATCCAACAAGTAGCATGGTGATGTTTGCTGCATGGGGGAGAGCCAGGGTCTGCTGAGAGGCCTAATCAAGTAAGAGCATCCCTTGACTAGAAGCTCCCCTGCTCCCCCTCCCACTCCCCCCTGCAGGAGTGGGACAGAGCCTCCCCTAGGTCACAGGTGCTTTTCATCCAGCCTCGCAGGGCAGCTCCAACTCCCTGCTGCTAGAGATTTGCTTGCCAATTTTTTCCTCGTTCAGACACAGAGCTGTGAGATCCAACAGACACCGTGTTGGTCTGATAACTTGATTAAGCTGGGTGACGGAGGACGCGGGCACCAAGCATCAAAGGAATGCGCTCTCCCCTTTAACCTCTCCTCGGGAGCCTACAAATTATATCTATTAATGTATCAGCCCATGGCACCACACGCAGGCTAGGTCTGCTTAAATATGTGTCAATCACTGGTAAGGGCCCGTGTGGGATCCTACCACATTTCCGGGTCTCCTGGCCCTTCTTAACAAAAGTTTAACCTGGTGGTGGTTCAGACAATGTCTCGTAGCTCTCCTCCTCCCGCTAAAATCACTTCGGAGTCAAATAAAGTTCTCTAGCGACAGTGTCCAGAGAATCCTTTAAGTAGTCCTGCATGCAGTTGGAGCGTATCCCAGAAAGGGAACGGAGAAGATTCGGAAAGGGCGGCATGGCTGGAGCGCAGAGGGATTCTAAAACAAACAAACAAAATAAAACAAAACAAAACAAAAAAACCCCAACAAACAAAAAACCAAGCACCAAGAAGCCCAGAGCTCAAAAGTCAAGACAAGAACGATGAAGGTTCTCCCTGGGCCCTGGAGGACCTTGGGAGAGGCAGGTAGGTGCCAAGAGCCAGAGAAGTGTCTGGGTGGAAAATGAACCACGTGGGCAGACTGTCCCATGTATGTGAGAACCCACCACCACCACTCCATAGGTGCCGCCCTGCAGAGAAGCCTGTGTGACTTTTACTTCCGGGGCACTGGGTCTGGAGGAGTACAACCTGGGAAGCAGAATGTGCCCAGGATAGTGTGGCTTTTTAAGTTTTCATATTGAGGACCATAGAGATAACACACACATATCTCGGCATCCCTACTGTGCTCAGTTTGGCAAAGAAACCTCTCTATGCACCAGCTAGTCAAGACAGAGAACATATCACACACACACACACACTCACACACACACACACACACTCCCCCAAAAAGTGCCATCAAGATTTCATTCCAGTCAATCTGCCCAGATCCAGCAACCACTGTTCTGCTTTCCTATGACCCTGAGTTAAATTCGCCTCTTTGGGAACTACATTTAAATACATCATTCACTATGTCTTCTTGTGGGTCTGCCTCCCTTTTCTTTTGAGTTCAGCCATGTACTTCCCTCTTTTTTCCTTGCTGAGGAGTATTCCTAAGGCTCTGACAGAATCTGTTCTTCCCACCTGCTGGTCCACATTTGAGGCTATTCTGCATAATCACAGGGAAGTGCTACCGAATTATTCATTCCGGGGTCATAAACATCATTTTATATACTACAGCCAAGAAAAAAGTACAGGTTTTTGCAAAGTGTGCTCAGGAGAGAGCAGAGCTTTGGGGACTTGGTAGTTTGTAGGCATGGCCTACACCTCTGTGTTCCTCAGGGACTGAACTTGGGTGGCCTGAGATCACCATAAGCAAAGCACCTATGTCAGCAGAGTGGTATGAGAATCCTTCCAGAAAGTTTAGGATAGCTGAACGCCCAGGGGCTGAGCGCCACTGTGCACCTGTCTGTGTGAAGGGCTGGGGGCTGTGGAGTTGCACTCCCTGAGTCCTCTGGCTTTTAGTGCTTGTACACTGCGGTGATTCAGCTATGCCCTACTCTGTCTTACTCCATGTTACAGAAAACAATGCATTTCAGGCTGTGCCTTGCCCAGAGTGACTCCATTTTACGAAACAGCTCTCAGCATTGTTTGGGTACGGATCTCAGGGAAGACTGCACCTTGTTTGCGCCAGATATCCAACAAAACCTACACCTGTGAGGTAAAAGCAGTAAGACCCAGACTAAGAAAGAACTAATTTGTACAGAAGAATATGGACACATGGGCACATGGCTTGTCAAAACCTTACCATGGAAGTCAAGTCAGGAGCTTTTTGAACAAGCCAGACGAGCAGTTCTCAACCTGTGGGTCGCAACCCCTTGGCGTCAAATACCAGATATTCTGCCTATCAGATATTTACATTATGATTCATTTTACATTATTATTCATAACAGTAGCAAAATTCCACTTATAAAATAGCAATGAAAGTAATTTCATGGTTAGGGATCACCACAACATGAGAAACTGTATTAAAGGAAAGCTGAGAACCAGGGTGCTAGACCAGTGAGTGACACAGCTCCTCACAGAGCCACCTACCAAATCAGATCACCCTACTCCTGAGTGCTCCTGCTTGACACCCCCCCCCAAATTGTGATGGTCCAGACTAGACTGTGCTGTACCTCCACTTGCAGGTTCTGTGCGCATCCCCAACAGCTTTGTGACAGTCTTAGGGTTTCTACTGCTGTGATAAGACCATGATCCCAGCAACTCTTTAAAGGGGAAACATTCGTTAGGGTTGGCTTACAGTTCACAAGGACATATTCTGGAACATTGTATCTGTCGGCCCTCAGTGGGTGGGTCTCTTTGAATCTGCGACAGCTCTCTGCCCCTGCCTGTCCTATGAGCCTCTTTGAATCCTGCGGCCTCTACCTTCCTCGTAGCCATTTTCAAACCTATATGCCCTAGTGTGAAGTGTGAGGCATGATCTGAGGGTTACAGTTAGTAATTAAGACTGAGAAGTTGCCGCTGTCAGCAGGCACTACCAAGCAAACTCAGAACTACTTGGAGAATTAGAACCAAGGAACTTGAAGTAGCTTGTGACTCTGTCTCTATTCAATATATTATGGCACTGTAGAAAGACAGCATCATGTCTGTATAGATTTCTAGTGCGGTCAGAGTACAAGTCTGAAAGCAGAAATGATTTTGTCCAAAACTGTTCTTCAGGTGTCAACAGACACTTAAGAGTCACCTGCTCGGCTGGCACAGTGGGGAAAGAGCCTCAGGCTCCTGACCATGACTCCCCTCCCTAATGAGCTGTAACCTGCATTGTGGGCCAGAAACAAGATCTTTCTCCCTTAAGTAGCTTTTGTCAGGGAATTTTATTGCAGCAGAAAAGAAACCAAGACAGAGAGAACGTCATTAAATGGCTTCTCCTATTTCGGCTATGGTCTCTCTCAGTGTGCCATGTTCACTATTTATCTTTTAAAATGTTGGTACTAGTTTTGATGCAAACAGAACATTGACCTCCCAAGTAGAAGTATCTTTCCGCAGCCCCTTCATGCCTATCTTTCATTTGCTCTCACTACCACGGGAGTGCTGTGTTGACCTGGTGGTTTCTTGGAAACATTCACATACTCCAGCCTTTTGAGAACGAAGCTTGCTGGGCAGCACTTGGGAGGCAGAGGCAAGCGGATGTCTGTGAGTTCGAGGCCAGCCTGATCTACAATGGGAGTTCCAGGACAGTTAGGGCTGTTACACAGAGAAACCCTGTTTCGAAAAATAGAAAAATAAAAATAAGAAAAGAATGAGACTCACCAGACAGCAGCTATCCTCATCCAGGCAACTTCCTCCTCTGTACTATTCTTGGCACAAACAGTTGGGCTGTTAACAAGAAAGGATATCATGGGGTCCTTCAGTTATCGGTGTTTCCTAGAGCACTACTGTCATCTTTCTGGAATTTTCTTCGGTCTCGTTTGACTGGAACGCATGGCCTCTTGAGACCATCAGTGCCCCGTTTACACAGATGAGACCATAGAACACTCTTGTGTATCTCAGGCCCCTATCCTGTCCTCCTGGGACATAAAAGATGCTCTCCAAGCATGAGGTAGCAAGCAACAGCAGCGGTACCAATCTCTCCTGCTCCCTTGTCTTATTAGACTTCATTCCCACAATAGAGATTTATCAGAAGAATATCAAGACTGTGCTATCAGAGCACTGATATAAACGTGGGCCCATCAGGAGGACCTCATGGTCACGTGTCTGTTAGTTTTGACTCTTCCAGGTCTAGAGGCTTTAAGGATGTAGACACGGTATCTCAGGTAAGCTCCAGGGTGGATCCCTTCCTTACCATAGCCTGACTCCCACAAGGCTCAAGGAAACATCATCCCCACACAGAAGGTGGAACCTCCAGTCCTCTTCTCTACTGGGGACCTGATAGCTGAGTGACACTGGGTGGGCTGGGGAAGGATGGATGGAAATCAGCAGTGCACAGCCGGAGCACAGAGGACGACAAGTCTTATCTAGGAAACGCTAACGTGAACAGAAGTGGAAGGGGAAATCCAGAGTGCAACCATAGCTTCGTGGTGTTCTTTTTCTGCACTCTGCAAAACAATCTGTTAAAGAAATTTATCACGGAAGGGATCTCTTTTGACCCAGGCACACGCTCTAGAGCCCAGACCATCTGTGATGCTGTGGGAAGGGACATGTCCCAGGTCATCTTCCTTCTTCATATAGGCCTCTCAACAGGTCTGCTAGGCTCGGGGAGCCTCGTTTTGCTTACCTATAAAATGGGCATCGTGATTCATCATTGAGAAGGGAGGTCCTCGTGAAAATAAAAGTGAAAACAGTCTATCAGAGTGCTCAGCTGTAAGCCATTGTGCAATGCACACATGATCACATCGGTGTCCCCGGTACAGACGGTCTCTCTCACCCACAGACACCATCAGGAAATTCTAGTCTGGGCAGAGTGATTTACAAAGGCTGCTCAGAAGTGGAGTCAATTAAGGTCAGCTTTCTATGTTGCTAAACAACAGGGGATTCCGGGTTCAGCTCTGCTGAAAGGCAGGCCCAAC